GAGAGAGAGAGAGAGAGAGAGAGAGAGAGAGAAAGAAACAGGCAGAGACTGGCCAGAGCTGGAGGACCTGAGTGGAATCTGGCAGCATGCTCCTTCTGAAGAGGAGACCAAGCAAGAGGAGTCCCTTTAACCCCCAGGGGCAAAAGCGAGAAATATTCCCGGCAGACATCAGAGTTCAGCTTAACCATACATGGCGCACCAGCAGAGTGTAACACAGGCCATGGTACTAAACCCCAACTCCTCCCCTCTACTTATTACCCAAACACAGCTAGTTACTGGAGTGTTTTGCGTGTCTGAATCATGTGACATAGGGCACCAGTCACGTATAACTCTAGCCTCCAGTATTAGCGCGAAATGAATTAATCGCCTGCTTGCATCACTGCCCTTGTGACCTCAGTATTTGTAGTACTGGTGCCCCTACGGTATGAGGGACTTCACTGCTGCATTGAAAGGAGACAGCCAGCCGGGGGCTGGGGCGTGGGAGGTGGGCTGTACTCTGTGTCTCCCAAGGGCAAAGAGGGCGAACAGGGTCAGGTTTTAGGTACGGAGCTGAGTGGACAGCTTGGTCGGTTTGCTCCCAGACACGGCCAGGGGGAGCAGATGTGAGGAAAAGCGACTTCCCAGCTACCCCTGCTGCTTCCTTCTGTACTACTAAGCTCCGCCCACCAACACACACACATGCATGCCGTCCTTTCCTTTTCTCCATCGTTACCTCCCTCTCCTCTGTCATACACAGCACCCCTCTAAACTCTAGAGGGCAGCCACTTCGCATTGCACACAGGAAGGAACACCACTGAACAAGGATGATGGTAACAACATATGTAAAAACCTCAGCCTGTAGGCTGTAGAGGTGAATGTAAAGCACTCGAGCCACAAAGGAGGGGGGCACACAACAATCTCAGAGGTGCACAACCCCCACCCATCTTTGTCTCTGCACAGCTCTCATCAATTCGAGGGCTGAATCCCTAATCACTAGGACACCTGCCTTAAGGACCCATCCCCCCTGAAAAAAGAAAGCATCCAAACAGCTGGTCAGAGTCATCGCGGCCCCCCACCCGAACAGGCACGTGCATACCACTGGAGAGCCCCAGCACCAGCTGCTGCCCTTGCAAATATGACCATGAATCCTTGCAATCACTCCCACCATTGACCAAAGAATGCAACAGCGCTAGTCAGACTGAAAATCCTCAAGAGCAAAGGACAGGGGAAGGACTCCCCCACATCCATTCCCCAACAATCTCTGACTGCACCCTGCCACCATGCATCTCTACAGCTTCTCAAACAAAACTCATCATTTCATTCAAATACAGCAATAAGGTGCTTCAACTTACATATTGGTGTTTTTTCTGTGCGACGGCTCCTATCTGAAGGAGCTCATCTTCTCCGGTCCGTTTAAGCAGAGGAACTGCCCTTACCAGTCCCAAACGTGGATGGTAGCCCCTGGTCACACTGCGCCAGAACCCCTGTGGCTCTGTTGACACGCTTGCTTGGGTGTGCAGAGGTGAAGGTGAGGGTGGGGGGTCAGTTTCTGAGAACAGGGGCCGCACCTGGAAAGGCCAACAAAGGAGAATCAATCGCTTGGTCTGGATGCACTCATTAAAGCAGAAACGCACCCCCAAACCCCTGTTATTCTCATCAGCACTCATATTGACGTAATAAGATCATGCGCTTCTTCGACTCTCATGAGACAATGCAGACGGAACGGAAACGTCACAACCTGCAATACAACGGATACTGAGTTTTCTGAATAAATGGTGGGAGCCGATGGTTTCAGATCCATGGCTGCACCAACAATCATAGCACATTCAAAAAGCACTCAGATCAGGCGTCTTAGCTGTTCTAAGGCTTAGTGGAACAATACGTGAAATTCTTGACCCTGTCTGGGCTATGTATTCAGTTGCAGCCATGTGATTCACTGTCTGAAGGAGAAGGCTGTTCACATTAGCAGGCATGTCCACCTAACAGATTGGTTGATAATTATTAATAGAAACAAGTAATATTAATTATAAAATATAGTAATATTAACTACAAATTACCTTAGCTGCTAACACTGAATGAAACTGATCAATACTGAGAAAAATCATTCAAGTAGATGTTGGGGGGGGATTTTTGGATTTCTCAGGGACAATACAGCACATACCAAGACACGCTTGGCCAAAACAGCCAACCCTAGAACTTCGACATCCTTGTGAAAAAGCTACGATGCAGAGATCCACTCCTCGGGGATAACGCTCTGGGGTAGCCCCGCCGGACGCCTGTACCCAGAACCCACAGTGTAGAGACCTGCCATTTTTCCTTCTTCCTTACACCATACCACCATCCCTTTCTTTCATTCCAGGAACCGGTTAAAGCCACAACTAGGCCGACAGTGGGGTTTCCATGGCAACTGCACCAACACATGAATATCAACTTTTTTTTTTTTTTTGGAGGACACGAAGAATATATACAACCCCAACAAGAGATGAGAAAATGAATCCTGACAATAGCGAAAATTAAACAGTGACTAAAACCATCTGAGCAGCACAGCCCCGCTTCCCTCCAGCTGCACAGCAGTGCACGGACAGGTGTGCGTGCCTCTGACGACGACCTGGCCCAGATTCTCGGTTCCCAGCTATCCTAACCAATCGTGTCCACCTCACGAATGCAAAACGATGCCAGCCCCCAGACAGCGGGCAGTGCTAAGTGGGAGGTGTGTGCATACCAGCACACTCTGACAATACTTCTAAAATGCTGTGTTAATACTCTCCAAGCCATCCTGACACCCAGGTGGACCACAGCCACAGACCCAGAGCTCTAAAACACACCCAATGCTAAGTGAGCGTATGCGGATTAGTAGAATATCACATACTAAACTCAAACTGCCACATCAGGAGATGCTGCAGCACTTGAGCAGAGAGTGTGCATGACTGACAGTCTCTGCACATGCCATTCTTTCACACACCGCTGCCACATCCCAAGGGCATCATCCGCCCCCCCCCCCCACACCTACCATGCCATCTGCTGATACGCTTGACTCACGCACAAAAAGCCACAAGTTCGAGCTTAGCATTTTAGCAGATCTTAATTTCCTTGCACAAGCAATTCAAACGTGCAGAGATTCTCTAAGCCAGTGTTTCACAGCCCTATGCTGGAGGACCCTCGGACACATCCGCCCACATCCCAACACACCTGTACCAGATATTTTCACAGCCCTATCCTGGAGGACCCTCGGACACATCCGCCCACATCCCAACACACCTGTACCAGACATTCGGTGTTATTTATCGGCTGGGAGCTGGGAGGGTACAAAGATGCGGACTGTCTGGGGGTCTCCGAAGAAACAGTTGGGAAACGCTGCTAAACTGCTTGATAAGACTGACAGACAGCAGATTGATCCAGATACACCACCTCCACCTTTCCCACCGACCAAGGCATCCCACTGCTATCTCCCTGCACTTTGTTCTAACCCACATAACAGGAGCATTGTACACACACAACCACACAAAAAGCCACACACAAGTTAAACATTGACAGCGTGCCCTCATCCCCTTAGCTCAGTGGGCGAGAGGACGCAGGGTGGTGCCACAGCTGGT